ACCCCTATATATGTATATAAGTTGTGTAATATAAGTTGTGTAATATATATGTATATAAGTTGTGTATATATATATATATATATATATATATGTATATAAGTTGTGTAATTGTACACTCCGTAATATGTTAAGGTGAAAATGTTCTAGAGTGTGTATTATATAATTTCCATACCCAGCGCAAGCAGAAAGATGTTGTCTGCCGCGCGGCTGCGGCTGCTACTTTCTGCTTGCGCTGGGTATGGAAATTATATAATACACACTCTAAAACATTTTCACCTTAACATATTACGGAGTGTACAATTACACAACTTAACATAACACTTGCAGAACTAGTATTGTTCGATGCTGAATTGAATATAAACGAGTATGTTTATGACATTCAGTATATATTTCATAATTTCCAGTCTTAAATCCGTCTGACCGCGTAGCTCAGTTGGTAGAGCGTCGATCTAGTAATTCGAAGGTCGCGGATTCAAGACCCCTTGAAAAGAATTGATTAAAATTCTAATTAGTTCCAGCCGAGAGCTCGTGATACAAAAGATTTGCGCGAACAAATTCACTAGTGCTGAAAACCGGCTTAATTAAAGCAGCTTCGTCTTCAGCCATGGAGTTTTCTTGAGAGTCGAGTCTCGTTCCTCTTTCTTGTCCTTGATCATTGCTCTAATCATAATTCTAATGATAATGTTCACTGATGCGCGAAGCGGCTATCCTTTTATAACTATTAGTCAGAGGATGACTTTATGACTTTATCTGTTGACGCATTTCCTTTGCGCAATGGTGTGGTCGTTGGTAGAAAGTTCTCCGATCACATTCATGTCCGTTGACGTTATTTGTGGACTAGGCGTTTTCATTAATCTTTTGAACAAAATTTTGAGAGATTATTTTATTAAGAATTAAGAGAGCCAGATATGATTGGGTATAAAATCTCAAAAGTATTTTTTCTACACCCTAACTCTAAACCATATAGATGATATATTTTCGTGACATATACATAATATGTAATATAGATTTGTCGAGTTATATATACACAACTGTTTGATGATTATTTGCAATAACTCTTTATATACTGACCTATACTACAATTGGTTCATGTCATTCTACTAACGATACATATCTATATATAATAAATACGATGGCAGCCACAGGAAGTTCAGGTGTGTGCGATTCTTAGACACCAAATATCATTATATACTGATCAGTGATACCAATAAAGTAGAACTATATCGCGAAACCCGAAAATTCTGGTTTTTACTGCACTTTAATCTTTACACGGTTTTGAAAAAACGTGGCCGGTTATGGAAAAAATTTTGATACAGAGTTGTTTTATTTGAAACTTGGTAGTTGCAATAATTCACATTTTTGTGAATTCTACATTAGAAATTTTGTGAATTGAAATAACAGGTTTCCAAAACTGTAAGGGCAGTAAAATCAGGTATTCATGGGGGTTCGCGTTTGGGTCGTGAATCAAGGAAGAATGTTATCGCATTCTTTTTGCAATCACGTGACTTTTCATTCAAATAACGGGCAATAAAACAACTTTTGGACGATTTTCTCCTATCAAAATGGTGTAGCCAGAAAAACTGAACCGTAATTCATCTTTTGAGTCTTAAACTCGCTCTAAACTCGACTACATTATTAAAATAGCCGGGGTTTTTATACCTGCCCGTCAACTGAAATGCCAAAATGACATCATTGCAAGAAAAGAATATATCCAGTTTTTAACACCCTCCTCCCCCGTCGCATCCTCCTACATCACACCCTCCTCCAACAGATACTGCGTACGGCGTTGGTGTCTGTCCTCCAGTCCCGCTCTTACCACAGTCATTTGATTCACAGAATAAGCACGCCGCGATTTTATATATAAAATATATAACTAGAAAAGCACCAACGGCTATGGCCTCGTACACCCAACCAGCTAGACCATCAGAGCATATATTTCTTCCATTTGAAACACATTTATTATCTTGGCAGCATATTGTTCGTTCACCACAATCATCATTTGATTTACAAAATTCACCGATACAAATAAGATGACATTCCTCAACTCCTTCACAGCATACGTCCCCAGAAGCACATTCAGAGTTAGCGGTACAGTTAGCTCCGTGATAAAAACTGGCTACTCCTTCGAGTAAAAATATATTAAGCATTACAACGAGATATTTGTCCATGATTAGTCTTTTAAACTCTCACGCATCTGCTCAATGAATTTTGAAGTTGAACTGATTATTCAAGAGGACTACGTCATGGTTTTATACCGTGCCAACATTTTGGATTGTAATAAATCATGGACTCATAACCATGGACCCTTTGTATGGATTGGTTAACATAATTTTTCAGTGTTTCTGGGTTAAAATACAATTTGTACATAGTACGTTTTACATATCTTCCGTGTAAACGTTATAACGCAGAGGATCCTCGAACTTGGAAATCTATATGTTTGTCTTGTAATACGTCTCGTAACCTGTCTTGTCCCATATCGTGCTGTTGTTAGTTTTTTGGGGAAGAAGCAGAATTCTCTGTCAGTCTGTGAGCTGTGTTTAAAACCAGCTTGAATATTAAACAACAATTAAAATATAAATATTCTGCATGGTACGAATTTAGTAAGCTTGATATACAGAAATTTTTGTATAAAGAGAAATTGGTGGGGTATTCTGCTTTTAACTCCCGATATTTTAAAGTTTGTTTGTCTTGTATTGTGTAAAGGGTCGCTGTAATTGGCGGAAGCTGTAGCGTATACCCAACCATGTCAATGTATGAATCGTTTATGTTAATGTATGTATAGCAAGTGATTTTAAGTTGATTTGGCAAAGCCTAATAAATAAATAAATAAGTAAAATACCCCCAGCAACACACTAAAATGCGGTACCCTACAAATAAAAATTCCGGCGTTTATGGCCCACAAGTAAAGTTATATTTTATCGTACGCTACATTCTTCTGTCAGCCGCCAGTTTAAAACGTCCAAACTAAAATATTTTGGGGCTTATTGGCTCAAAATATTATCAAAACTATGAAGCAGGCCCGTAGCTGGGGGGGGGGCTGGGGCCTGGGGGGGAATTCCCCCCCCCCCACTCGGTGGGGCAGTGCCCCCCAGTGCCCGCCCACTCCGAAATTTGGTATGAAAAATTGAGATAAAGGACCTGGAAACCAATTGTAATCATGGGACAAATTCTGTAAATTTTGTGGTAAATTTTGTGATGTTTCGAAAAATTTTGTTAGGTTTCGGAAAAATTTGGTATGTCCAGTGAGTGCCCCCCCCCCAGAAATTGAGAGCCAGCTACGGGCTTGCTATGAAGAGAGGAGTGAGACGAATCTACTGGTATATAGCCTACGAAAACGTGTTTCTGCTGGGGTCTACACCGTAGGGCGTAGGTCACGGTACTGGTATACGGTCAATATTCAAAACTACGCATCTGATTGGACAATAAAATTAGAAACTAGCCATTTGACTGTCAAACTGAAACTTGCAGTTTTTCACACGCCGCTTGCAACGAATTGTGATCACGAGGTACACAAATATGTCCTTCGTAATTGACAAAACTGTCACTGACAAAGCGCCCAAAAAAACGGTCGTTTCGCAGTTCACTGGGAACAATAATAGTACTTCATTTTATCGCCGTGCAAAGTTTAAAGCCTTTTATTATATACATGACAAAATTACTGCAATCTGATTGGTTAAGAGGAGTGCAATTATTTCATTAATTGCACGTTTTTATTGCACGCGCAAGCATTGTTTATCGCAAAACTATTAGCAAATCAGCTAGAGGTTGGCCTATTGTGAGAATATTTTGGAATTACATATATTCTAACTACTAATTCATGTATTTTAATGTATTTTTTGTTTTTCATTATTCAGTTCTTCGGAAATGTACTAGCAAAATTTTTTTGTGGTCATTTTTGTCCCCGTTACTTGACACACGCCAGTTACGCCAACGATAGAAACCAGGGCGCTTATATATACTATATAAGCGCCCTGATAGAAACCCATTGTCTTTAAACTAATTTGGTATAGGTTGATTAGCATAGCATGACCAGTGGATATGATGCATGGTCATTGGTTAATTAACAATTATACCATGAGCTCGAGTCGTGTATATGTGGTGGATGACTATAATCACTATATTATCATAGGCATTATAATAACACCTCATTAATGGAAATTGTGGCCATTTAATTGACTGATGATGATCACGTGATATTGAATAAAAATTGCCAATAATAGTAATTGCCAATAATTACTCGCTGGGGCACCTGTCCCCCGGACGAGTATAGGTTTCGGCTCGCATTTTTCTCGGATAGTGGATCGAAGACGTAGTTACTAAAACATGGAACGACCCACGATCCACAACGACCCCACTACGACCCCAAAATTACCATCAGTTGCAATTTTGCATGACAATAAACAATATAAGTTATTGTTTGTGGATACACCACGTATTTTATTATTGCAAAGCTTTCGATCCTAATCAGGGCCGCCCAGAGGTTGGCGGGGGCCAGGGGCAAATTTTTGTTTAGGGGCCCCTATCTAAAAAAATTTTCCCGGAAAAATTTTTTTCCGGACAACAAACTCCCCCCCCCCACCCCCCCGTCGCCAAAAAATTTTCGGTCAGTGTACCATTTTAGGGGTAAAAATTTTTTTCCGGAGTACAAAATTTTTCCGGACGAGTACGTTGCAATTGCTTTCGAGGGACTTTATCTCATTTTTTTATGCCAAAATTCGGTACTTAGCCCAAGAAAACAAATATCTTGTCCTTTGCGCGGAAATATTTAACACACAAAAAAGGCTGGGGCCCAACAAAAATTTTTCAGGGGCTCCCAGCAACTCGGGGCCCGGGGCAATTTGCCCCCTTTGCCCCCCCCCCCTCTGGGCGGCCCTGATCCTAATCCCGATCTTCACGCGAACCGGTGGGATTTAAAACGCGGAGAATAAATGAGCTAGCATGGGTTAAATGTGAGAGCATCGACACACAGATAGAGGAATACCTTTGTTCATAACATTCAGGACATACACCACTGTACTAATAAATATATTTACTTTCAGTATAATATGAAAACAATATGAACAAAAAAGCAAAAATATAATGCAAAAATTAAATGAAGCTTGCGCAGACGGCAGAACAACACGAAGACAGACGATGTTCGTAATGACTACAGAATTCTTCACATAGTGCAAAAGAAATTAAAGATCTGTTTTTAGCGACTAAAATATTTGGCCGAAAAATATTGATAATTTGTTTCACTTAATTAAAACATAGTTGGAACACTCATCAAATCTCTATTTTGTCAATCTATAGAGCTTGAAATGCCCCTCCCCCCTAACAATGCGTGACATGTCTCATCAACTCTCATCCTCAATTGACATAATTTAGACAGAAGGGATTTTCACTGAGGGGACCAACACAGCTTACTGGAGGAGCTAACATGCGTGCTCGGCGGCCTTATACTTCACCATACTAGGGCGTAAATATACGAGGGTGCAAACATTATGCCCATCTGTTTGAACTTGTAGGTTAATTAAAATCTAATCATAAACCAAAGGTAAATTAAACTAAAATTCTAAAATAAGTAATTGGAATACATATTATTTAATTGGTTTACATTACGTCGCAAAGAGATACAGTGCTTTCGTGCTACACCGTATATAGATCTGGCAAATTATACACAACTATGTCTTATTATCGTCAGAACTCTACTTTTTATATATACTACAATTGGTTCACTTTACTGACGACACAAATCAGTCGTATCTACATAAGAAATAAGATTGCAGCCACAAGACTGTCAAGAGGCTCCGGTGTGTGCGAAGATTAGAGAGTTTAAGCACGGCACAGGGCAACGTAAGGATGGCGGCCATACGTTAATATAAATGATTGCATGAAAATTTTGCTTTGTACGTGTGCAACTATCATATTAATTAGTTTTAGAAGGAGAAAGCATGCAAAGGAGTACCATTCACAAACTTCTACCCAAGCCTGTTGAATAATTAGTTTTCATATCTTGAAATGCTGGTGTGAAAATGTCATTTTGCCGTTGAAATGGCTGACTACACCTAACTTCGGTTCTTGCACCAGAAAGCTGGGGAATGAGAGGGACTCATCTACCTGCTAAAACGTCGACGTTTCGATCGAAGCCCTTCCTCAGAATGTCGGGAGCAGTCACGCAACCTTGATTAGCTGTTCATAATGGTTTCCCAACACTATCATGTGTTCTATTTAAGTTAAAACATGGTTGGAACACTCATCAAACCGCTCGAAACGTTGACGTTTTGCTTGTATTTTTCAGGGAGTTGAATCTGTCTCAATCCGCAGCTATTGGGTGTCAGTAGAGACTTTACGATTTTAGGACGGCAACGCGACGACGACGGCCGAAACAAACTCCATCAAATAAATGGTAGTAAAGATAATTCGTCGTATATTATCAATCGTATGAATTTAATACAGTTTGAGAAGTTGAAGACATGGGTTGTATGGTTGGGAAGAGTTCTGCTGAACCCAGTTTGAAGTTGCACTTGTTGTGGTTGAAATGCAGGCGTTGTGTCAAGACGTGAAAATCTGTGATTTGGCGTTGTAAACTGAGCGAAGGACAATGTCTAAATTATTCATATATTGCATGAAATGTCTAAATTATTCATATATTGCATGTAATTATTCAATTCTTTTCAATGGTTTATTGTATTGGTAGCCGTTGCCGTCGCGTTGCGGTCCTAAATCGTAAGGTCTCTATTCTCACTACCTCTGGCAGAGACCGCTCCAGTGCACTTCTTGCAGTATATTGATTTGACGAATCTAATTGTGCTATAAGGGTTGTAACTCTCTAAAAGCCAAGATTACTATCTAAAAGTAGTCCAAAAGTAACACTTCACGCTATTTCTGGGGTGGGGGTGGGGGGTGTGGGGGGGGGGGGAAACTTTTTAGTATTTTGGGAACACATAGACGAGTAAACGTAAGAAGTAATTAACTTTGTGATTAGTATAATCACGTTGTATCATTTTGCATGCATAGCCTAAGCCGAAAAGATTTAAAAAGATCTATTCACATGTAACTAAATATTGAAATTAAACATTTCTGAAAGATTGTTATTTTTTAAAAACACAAACCTTGTGTAATTTTAGAAACGTTAACATTTAGTTAAGGAAGCGTTACTCTAGGAATTCTACGGGATGTTTACGGACTGAAGGTAAATGGAATCTCTTGTTGTTCACTGTAGTCTGCTTTTGCATGACGTTCTCGCGATCCTTTGTACTTGGCCACATATTTCTTCACCAAGGAACGGACACGTTCAGGATCGATCGTATGATTCGAGTTGGCGACCTGCAGAGATGGAAGTTGCTATTAACAAACCCTGGAAAATATTATGCTTCCTGCGGGCAAAACCTGGCTGACTTTGAGGTGATCGTTTTGCACCTCCCCGTGATGGATCAAAGTAAATAATTGACACAAATTTAACAGCGAACGTGAGCTAGTGATTGTTATTCAATTTTTATGTGCTGCTTTAGGTCTTCACTTTGTGATAAGTTCTTTTATATAATAACTTATTGAATTCTGATTGTTTAATTGGCTGTTTATGGTCACATGATATTGAATAGAAAATTCCATTTCCCAAGAGTGCAATGGAATACGTTCCATTGCACTCTTGCGAGTGCAATCCCCCCCCCCCCCCCCCCCCCCCCCCCTCTCGGCGGCCCTGCATGACATACTGTTAAAGGTCACTAACGGTGGAAATTGTTGTTTAAATTAGACAAAAACGTATAATTTTATTAGAAAACTACAAATACACGCAATTTCCTGGGTGTTCAATAATTCGCACAGCATAATATATAACAGTTTCTACTATAGTCGAGGACTTGTATATGAGTTTGTGTGCATTTCATTTAGGACAGATAATCTCAACTGTTTTGGGGCAAGTTGACCATGACGGTCAACATGGTAATGCTGCCCGAACCCCAATCCGGGACGAAACGTCCGAAACTGACCATACTGCTATCTACCAAACCATAAAAGCTTTGGCTATTCTGAGGTGCTTATATGGTTCAGAGATGGTACTTTTGGGGGTGGTCATTGGTACGTGTGAAATGCCTAGCACTAATATTTCACAAGAAAATGACCATGCAATAATCATAGTTAAACGTCAATTTGTGGCTTGCAACTTCAGATAAACAGCAGTGGACTTACATTACCTTTTTCCCTAAATCTTTTTGATAGAAACATAATTGGTACTTATTTAAATATATTATCACTGGTTTGGTGTAAAATAGTTAATATTTTCTGACTGAAATAATAATTTGAAATGTGCCTACCTCCTGCAAATGGACGTTTTTGGCCAAGTTCTCCACTTTACTCCGCTGTTTATCGGCGATCTCGTCGACATCCTTCCAAAAATGTAAATCATCTCAGACATAATGGTATCAAGAACATTTTAAACAAGTTTCAACTTGGTTTCAAGTAGATCATAGCTGTTTAACCATCGGCAAGGTAAATCCACAACTTTGTCCAAATTCGGCGCCATTTTGTCATCCCGTTCGGTTGTAAACAATTCGGCCTTGTTACTCTTCCATCCAAGCCATTTCCATCAAATAATGACAAATTTAACCCTTTGTTAAGGGTTTTGAAATAAAAATACAAATGAAATATGCGAAATGCAGCATTTTATCACCCTGTAAGATGTTGCTTACGAGTCTTTCAAAACATTCCGTTCAAATGTCGCGTGACAAAGTGACAGGGCCGTGACAGGAGGGGGTGAGTTTTTTCACGAAGATAGAAGAAGGCTGCGTGAAACATACTAAAAACTAAATACAATCATACAAACGTTTGTTTTATTTCTTGTAGTGACAAATAAATACATATTATTATTTATTAATATGAACAAGTCATACAAATTAAATGTTGATTGCTGGTTTTACCATGCTGTGTGGGCTTTGCTTTCGTTTTCAAGTCTCCATCCCTCCCTGTTACTAAACCACGCGAGATTTGTACGAAATGTTTTGAAGGACTCGTAAGCAACATTTTACAGGGTGATAAAATGCTGCATTTCGCGTATTTCATTTGTATTTTGATTTTAATACCCTTAACAAAGGGTTAAATTTGTCATTAGTTGACGGAAATGGCTTGGATGGAAGAATGACAAGGCCGAATTGTTTACAACCGACACGGGATGACAAATTGAGGTTTTACCTTGTCGATGGTTAAACAGCTATGATCTACTTGAAACCAAGTTGAAACTTGTTTAAAATGTTCTTGTTCTGCGGGTCTACAAAGTTGAGGCTTGTCGATGGTTAAACAGCTATAATCTACTCGAAACCAAGTTGAAACATGTTTAAAATGTTCTTGATGCCATTATGTCTGAGTTGATTTACATTTTTGGAAGGATGTCGACGAGATCGCCGATAAACAGAGGAGTAAAGCGGAGAACTTGGCCAAATACGTCCATTTGCAGGAGGTAGGCACATTTCAAATTATTATTTCGGTCAGAAAATATTAAATATTTTACACCAAACCAGTGATAATATATTTAAATAAGTACCAATTATGTTTCCATCAAAAAGATTTAGGGAAAAAGGTAACGTAAGTCCACTGCTGTTTATCTGAAGTTGCAAGCCACAAATTGACGTTTAAACTATGATTATTATATGACAAGCATTTGTTTTGATGAATCGTGCAATTTGATTAGCTGCTGACGAGGCAGGATTTTCCCGTATTGCCCACGGGCAATACGCAATTTTTATTGCCCTGCGACGAGAGCCGAGTTTCAAACAGCAAAAAGTGTCTAAAAATCTTTCAAAACTATCCAAAACGAAGAAAAACAAACCTAAAATAGAAAAAGGAGCAACTGCTGTGGTTAAAGAACATTTCCGATACGTTTTTGTTAGCGAAGGTCAAAATTACAAGGTAAATTTTACAATGTTTATAACTATAAAAGCAGTCGGGAATAGTTGTGACTTGTGTTTTGACTATGTGAAGAGCTGCAAATTTTATTTGCAGATAGCTAAGAGGAGTTTGACACCATCCTAAATAAGAAATACAACTAAAGCAGCCACAGATGTATAATTTTTCCCAGAAAATTTCTGTTTTTGTTAGATAAAAAGAGACATAAATATGAGATGAAGCGAACTAAAAACGTACTTGTTTTTGTAATTCTATTGAATTTTGTTGTTTTCATATTTGTTGCATTTGATTGACGAAATAGCTCGTATTTTTCTTGAAATACTAGCCAAACTGTGTTAGTTGTCTATATAAAAAGTGCTGTAGAGTAGTTTTACTAACCGGGAGACCATTTTTACAATTGTTCTTTTTTGCAAATGTTTCGGACTTTGTACTTTGCCCTCGCGTGACCTTTTCTTCATTTTTTACAAACGTACAATGCCATATAATAAAAAACTTACTGACTTCAACCGTTCGGGCAAAATTGTTAGCGAAAGTCAAAATTGCAAGGTAAATTTTACAACGTTTATAACTATAAAAGCAGTCAGGAATAGTTGTGTTTTGACAATGCGAAGAGCTGCAAATTTTATTTGCAGATTAAGCCAGGAGGAATTTGACATCATCCTAAATAAAAAATACAACTAAAACAGCCACAGATTTATCATTTCCCCCTGAAAATTTCTGTTTTTCTTAGATAAAAAGAGACATAAATATGAGATGAAGCGAACTAAAAACGTACTTGTTTTTGTAATTTTATTGAATTTTATTGTTTTCATATTTGTTGTCTTCGATTAAATGACGAAATAGCTCGTATTTTTCTTGAAATACTATCCAAACTGTGTTAGTATTCTATATAAAAAGTACTGTAGAGCAGTTTTACTATTAACCAAAGAACATTTTTTACAATTTTCTTTTTTTTTGCAAATGTTTCGGACTTTGTACTTTGCCCTCGCGTGACCTTTTCTTCAATTTTTTACAAACGTACAATGCCATATAATAAAAAACTTACTGACCTCAACCGTTCGGGCAGTACGGGAAAATATCCAACCTTGGTCTTGCTGTATTGACCTCGCTATCGCTCGGTCAATACAGCAAGACCTCGGTTGGATATTTTCCCGTACTGCCCTCACTCTCGGTCAGTAAGTTATTATTATTGCATGGTCATTTTCTTGTGAAATATTAGTGCTAGGCATTTCACACTTACCAATGACCACCCCCAAAAGTACCATCTCTGAACCATATAAACATCTCAGAATAGCCAAAGCCTTTATGGTTTGGTAGATAGCAGTATGGCGAAAGCGTCGTTTTTGGGTGTGGTCAGTTTCGGACGCTTCGTCCCGGATTGGGGTTCGGGCAGCGTTACCATGTTGACCGTCATGGTCAACGTGCCCCAAAACAGTTAGATTATCTGGTCGAGTCTTAAGGAATCATAAACTGCTATTGTTTGTCAAGACGTCTGAACGTTACTTTTCATTAGGATATTGATGCATCTATAAGGAAGTTGTTTGGCGTTTGTTTTAAAACATTACAAGAGACGACAGTACATAACCAAGTAATTTTCCTATTTTTCCAGGAGATAGCCCAGTTATAGTAAGCTATCTCCTCGCCTTCTGACATAACACAACCTGGCGAGTCAAAGGATTGTCGGATAATTTGTATTTTCTACCCATTTTCCGTTGTACTTTTCCTCTGTACCGTTCCATTTTCCGTTGTGCTGGCCACGTGCTCCAGAAGTTGCTGTCTTATGCAATCCTATGCAAACTATGGACAACTAAATATTTCACACTAGTAGATAAAACATTTCTGGCGGGCGACGAAGACATGCATAAAATTTATTGATTACGGATCGGTAGTTTTCTTGGTTTTGTGGTGACTTTGCGTCAATGATACAGTTCGGCACTAAATTGACCATAGAGGATTCCCTGAACATACGCCAAGTTAACATGGAATGAGAAATGCCGTGGTGTATAAATATCATATCTTGGCAAGAAAAATTGGAAATCTTGGAATCGTGGCTTTCGGTAAAATGGTCATAACTCTTAAAGACCAAAGGCGTATTTAAGCGGAACTTTTACAATTACTTACATGTAAACACTGGATCTAGAGGTTCGTTTTCAACCGAATTCGATTGGTTACTAGACATACAGTAGAACTGTGATGCAATATGCAATGCATAGGGAAAGGTCAAAGCGAATTTATTTTGACCCATGAGATTCAAAATACGCTTTATGAGTCTGTAACATAAAACATAATCTACCTACAGTATTTTACAGTACAAATACTGTAGAATACGATTCGTTCTGACAAGCCAAACTGGGGCGGTGAAAATAGTCGAGAAAAGTGTAACTGACCCAGTCCCTGACTACGACTAATAGTTCCTAAATATAGCTTTGTAAATGCCTACAAGAAGGGTGAATATTCACCACCTTGAAATAATTCACGAAAAACAAATTTATTGCAAACATACCATGACTTTCATCCTCAGATTTGTTCCTTTCTTTCCGTCGTTTCTTTTTCTTCTCTGTTTTCTCATGTTTCTCTGACTTCCCGTGTTTCTCCAACTTCTCATGTTTCTCTGACTTGTCATGTTTCTCTGACTTGTCATGTTTCTCCGACTTTTTGTGTTTTCTATGGCGTTTATCCTTTTCATCACTTTTACTTTCTTTCTTATCATTCGGCTTCGTCAGATTGTCCTCCAATATATTATCGTCCGTATCTCTCAAAGTACTACTATCAATTTCTGCATTTATTTCCAATTTATCCTGTTCATCAACGGCCTTGGCTGACTGAACAGATTCATTTTTTGCCGACTCAGCAGATACCATTATTGCTAACTCAGCGGATTCACCTTTAGTAGCTTCCTTATCGGCTGTTTCAGCAGTTTCTTTCTCAGCTGACTCAGTAGTTTCGTTTTCAACTGACGGAGCAAATTCTTCTGTAGCTGACTCCTTTTCCGGTTCAACAGTCAGGTCTTCAGCAGGCTCATCCTCATCGGGTTCAGCGGTCATTATTGCAAATGGGTCGGCAACCTTGTACTTCAAAGGGTCACCAAAAAGCTTTTTAGTTGAGCTCGCCGTCATCTTTCCAAAGGGAGTAATATCAGTTTTTTGGTCCTGTTCAACAGTTTCCGTAACTTGCTCTTTAACCGTTGTTTCTTCATTTCCTTCAGACGTTGATGTACTTAGTTTTCTAAGTGGTCGTTTTTTCTTCGTATAAGCAATGTCCTCAAAAATAGGCGCATCTTTTATGCTGGGTTTGGTAGAAAGACGGAAGGGTGCGATCTTTGGTTTTGTACCATTTTTTCTTGCTTCGTTCATGGCTTCTCAAGTTTTAAAATACTACATCTGAGATACATCAATCTGGAAGAAATATAAACAATAGATAGTGAGGTGTATAAGTTCACAGTAAATTTATCATGGTATTAATGTTAAAGAATTAATATTAAAGTTTAGGGAAAAAGTATTTTGTTTCTGGACAGTTTACAAATTTTACAAGATATTTGATTTCATATAACTTTTCCCTAAATATTGTGTACTTCGTTGCGAACTTCGTTGTGAAGTTAAAAAGTTCATACTGAAATTCACAAGCCGGTATGTAAACAAAGCCTCCGATTGGTCGCTGAACAAAATGCATTGTTTACAAACCGGTTTGTGAATATGATTATGAACTCTAAAACTTCCCAACGAAGTTCACAACATTGAGGGAAAAGTTATGTGAAATCAACTGCAAGTGGTTCCGGGGAAGCTCCCACCCAAGTCTCAAAACACCCGTTATATATAATTATCGTTTTAAGGTTGACTTTGTATTTCCTCGCGTCAGTATAGCACAAGTGTTGCTTCTATTTATCAGGATAACGTCGGGCAACGTGATGACGTGATCGCTTTTATATTTAACAGTTATTCTACGAACTCGAGTCGAATATGAGCTGATAGCGATGAGGCGCGTAGCGCCGAATCGGCTATCGCTCATATTCGACGAGAGTGAGTGGAATAACTGTTTTATTATATACACAAGGTCTGAATTCACAGACTTTGCTTTTCGGATATTTTCAATATTTTTCTATTTTGTTTATGTTTTTATGATCGCTCTTTCGGCCGATTATTTTTTCAAAAATATATACTTCTTAACCATTTTAAATTTTAAAAATTTATTTGCTAACCTGAAAACAAATTGTGGGAGTTTTTTCATTGTGTTTTTAATCCTGTAAAGGTTATAAAAAGCGGCAACTTGCCGTTTCCTCGTTTGCAAAACATCGTAAATTCAGTTTGGCCGCCATTTTGTTTTCTCTACTAGCAGGATATGAGCTAATATCCTGCTAGTAGAGAACCAATCAGAATGCAGAATACCTCATATCCAGACCTTGTGTATATAATAAAGGTAATTAGTATAAACCTACTAGTAGGCTATCATGTATCGTGCGTTCTGATTGGCTACGCTACTAGTAGGCTATTAGTGATAGCCTACTAGTAGCAACAGCGGCGAAG